CAGTGTTGATTTGAACGTCTGCTAAATTTGGCACCATATTGTGTTCATGCTGATCTAAATTGGCATCCCTAGTCGGCTAGAGCAGAGCCAACTGTTTTGTTTAATGTTCACTCATCAGGGCATAATGATTAGAGATTTCATTCCAATTTTTGTTTTCAATGTTTTTTTTCATTTACGTTGTTACAATTTAGTCGTAAAGTAAAAAAGAAAACATTGATGAGCTCTGTCTAAAAGTGTCATGGTTTCTCTATTGCTGTCATATTTTTTTATTTATTTTTCTACACCATAGTCACCTGCATTTTCTGACATTTGTCATGATTCACGATGTGCCTTCCCTCCGTACAGAAATATATAAAGCCTATATACACAGAGGAGTCCTATTTGGAGCTGCAGAGGAAGCAGAAGCGGTCCTTCAACACCCAGCAGCTCACTGCCTTCAGACTGCTGTTTGCCTGGAGGGACAAGCTGGCCAGGCAGGAAGATGAAAGCACCGGGTAGGCTGTTTGGAAATGGATGAACTCGCTGTTCTGGAAATCCTCTAGAGCCGTTTTCCTATTTATAAGTTGGTGCCCAGACAGATTTTGCCACCCACATGTTTGTGACAATCTCCCTGCTTTTAGAATCACTCAGTCCTTCTACATCTGTCTTATCACGGAGTTGTTTGTGTGTTGTAGATTCACCCTGCCCACTCATATGATGATCAAGATCTCTGAGGAGCTGCCCAGGTGAGTTCAATAGATTTCCCACTTAAATTGGGATTCATTTGTAGTGCTGTTCCCTCACTTTAGAACAGGTGAGTTTAGCGTCATTATTCACAACCTCCAACACAGTATTTTGTCTTTGTCGACTCAGGGAGCCTCAGGGCATCATTGCCTGCTGTAACCCTATACCCCCGCTGGTGAGGCAGCATGTCAATGAGCTCCATTTGTTAGTGCAGCAAGCCAGAGAAATGCCTCTCCTTAAGGTAAGAAACGATGGGTGGCGGCAGTGTTTGTTCTGGTGTAAGTTCAATGTACCTAAATCAATCAAACATTGCCATGTTTTCTAAACGTCACACAGGCTGAGCTTGGAGCTCAAAAGTCGAAAGGACTCGCACCCTTGAAAAAGGTTGGTTGAAAACTGATAAATCCAGGTGGAATATTTAGTTTTTGCATTTGGTATTTTGAAGGAACCTTGACTGGCATAAAATTCATGTGATTTTTGTGTAATTTTCCAGCCAGAGGTCACGTTGTTTGGTCCTCATGATACATCCAAGGTCTCTGAGAGCGACCTTCACCACTGTTCTCCTCATGGTACGCTCGACGCTCACACATGTTCTGCATTATATTTGTGATTTTTAATATTTTAGCCCATTAGGCCTAAAAAAGAAAATGCATCTAATTTCAGAAATGCCCGTCAAACAAGGGATGCTCTTCTCAGAGGATGAGGACAGAATGGATGTTGGTGAAGAGGCAACAAGTGGTCTCGTGGCGACGGCGACAATCACACAGTTTGAGGTAGAGATCAACTTCTAGTTTGATTTATTCAGCTCAATTTACATGCAGCTGTCATACCTAATGTGAGAACTCTGCGTTCTTTTTTTGAAGGAGCTGGAAACACAGAATGACCAAGAGTCCCCTTCTGTGGCTCAAATGAAAGCCAGACGCATCATTGAGTCTTTTGAAAACCCTTTCAGAATGGTAAGATATGATTAACCCTCAGTATTGTTTGCATTGCATCTTATTTAACCAGATACACAGCATTCAACTATCTTCCCTCTAATTTCAGTACTTGCCCTCCACTGATGTGCACATCAGCAAGAATGCCAAGTTTGACCCATCTTCGAAAATATTTGAGGTACTTGCATCAGCTGTGGTGGTCGCAGTGACTCAAATTGCCGACTGTCACATTTTACAGTAGCCTTCGGACACTAATCTCAATGCTGTATTTGTGCTGGGCAAAAAAGGAGAAGCTTGATGGTTGTACAATATGCTGTTATACAGTCAAACATAGCCAAGTAAGCCATGCCCCAGACGGCCACTTTTAGGCTTGCTTTTTAAATGGTTTTATGTTGATAAAGTATTAATAACTTCGGAGGAGGCCGTACGTTAAAAATATAATAACCCACCATCTCGTGTTTACAGATTAGTAAAAGATGGAAACTGCAGAGTATTGAACGTCAACAGAAGGATTTGGAGGCCAAGAGAGAGGCCAAGACGAAAGCCAAGGAAGAAGCAAAGGAACGTATAAAGAAAGTGAAAGGTAATGAAGTCAAACTTGCTCTAAATTTACCATTTTTCTGAGTAACGTCCCTCATTGTATTTCATTTTTTTATTGTTGATTTCCGCAGAAGAAAGAAACGAGGCTAAGCAGAGCTACCAGGAGTCTCTCCAGGACGTCGCCACTGTTCGCCAGCAAGCAGTGGTGAGTCATTTGCTCTCTTGTCCGTCCATTCCCTCTATGCTACTTCAGATCGGCTTTTGCCAACTTCACTGTTGATGTCCCTGTTGGGAGGGTACATATCCATCAAAAACACCGAGTGTTATATTCACCCAGGAGCCTGGCATGGCATATTAAAGATAGTGCTGTGATCGGCAGTTTAACCCTCTGCAATGCCCCCCTATTTTCTGAAGACGTGGCTGGTATTTCTTCGCAGCAATATGGTGACTCACAAGCGAGTGGACCACTGCTGCCAGTCTGCAGCTCAGGCATGTCAGTGGCCTTATCTATATCTGTCGCGTGACGTGCCGGGGAAAAAGAATGCACAGCGTGAGATTGCAGCATTAGCGACATGCCCCCCACTTATAAAACACTTTTCTTCTCTCCTTGGGGAACAACAGCAGCTTATTTCTGCCTAAAAGCCCACTTCCTGTTAGCTCCATCTGTCTGGGCTATTGCTATACCCCCTCCTGCTCGGTTACATGCTCTTGCCACCATATGGTGTTTCCTCTCTCCGTTTTGAACAAAAGTCTTCATCTTCAGTTGTCGGTGCTGGAGAACAGAAAGAAATGTCTCCACTCTGACCCTGGTGGTGGAACCGCTTCCCCTCTGCCTTTCACTGTGTGTGCGCGTTGAGCCATCAGTCACTAAGTGCACACGGTGATATCATGCACCACAGCAATCCATTGTGTGATGATGGATTGAGTGAAGTGTGTTTTAAGCTGAAATGGAGGCTTCAAATAAACATGGTGGCATGCATTATAGTCAAAAGTGTTGGCAGCAGAACTTCAAAGTAACGCTCCTCAACCTGCCAACTGCGGGCAAATATTGGCTCAGTCGGCTAACTCCGTTTCCGCCGATACTTTGGCAGTGAAGTTTTCTTATCTAGTTTCAGTTTGAAAGAAAAGTTTCCAAACGCTTCTAATGCACTGATATTAGCACTGATATTGGGTTCTAACATCACTGGTTTTCTCTTTTGCCTGCGTCATGTTCATGAACAGTTGCATCAAATATAATAAAATAAAAGCATGTTTGATAAATGGATCAGAAATCATCCCAAGGAGAACACATGATTTGTGAAGACTCACAAGTTTGATGTCAACCATAAAAATAGATTTAACTAAACAATGGTAGATTCTAAGATATTGTCATGAAGCTGCAACCTCATTCTAGCGAGTTAGTGCATTACAGAGATTGGTTGCACATCTTCTATGGCTGGAGTATTGTTGCACTGGTTCCGATGGGTTGATATGTTAAGTGGTTTCTGTGCCTGCATGTCCACACAGATAGAACAATGTGATGCTGCAGAGCATGAGGCAAAGTGAGAATGTCAACCTTTAGATGGCAGCAAAAGCTGGATTTTCAACTACAGACTGTTTCATCACTGAGTCAATATAATGTTGACTTTAGTAGGTCACTGCAATACCATTCTTTCAAGCAGAGGCCTATACAGTATGACGTTTTCTGTGTAGGGTACAAAAACATATGTGTGCCAAGTATGCAGCAAAAGAAAACACTTTTTGGGAAAGGATGTCGGTTAATATCAATCTCTTTCTAATTCCCTTTAAGATTCCTGTTATGTATGATATGCAATTTAATGGTGCACCATAAATAGATAAACATCAAAAATAATCAAAAAGAGAAAGTTCTTCCCGCATACTACTTGTCCTATAGCTGGGAACAGTGGTCATTATCTTGTTAGTTTAACTAAATCCATCCATTTAAGATTACATTTATTTGAATGCATATTCTAAGTGTTGCACAGAATATAATGCTGCCGACCAATTTCGCCAGGATTCTGCAAAAGACGGCGGAAAGAAAAGAGAGCGGGTTGCCAGTGAGATTGGAGAGTCAACTCCCAAACCGAGTAAGAAGCTGATGAAATCTGAAGAGAAGCCCAAGAAGAAGGACCCGCCTCTCCAAGACGACTTCAATCCCTTTGACTACAGTCAGTCAAAACTCAAAGTCTTTGCTGGTATGCATCATGTCACTACTCACTTTACAGTCAGTTCGGTGTTGTACAATATTGTATTGTAAAAAAAACGAGTTCAACTCAGTGCACCTGCTTTGTTATTACAGGCAACAAACCAAAGGACAACACGCAGTTCGATCCAAATCGGCAAGCTCACGATTTCAAGAAAAAGGTATTTAGTTTACTAATACATTTTGTTCATTAAACAATATGTATTTTAATAGTGCGTGACCAACTTAAATCTTTCATCTAATAGAAAAATCCCAAAGGACAAAAATCCAGTTGTGGAGCTGGAAACCGAAGTATGTCATACATGGCTGGAAAATCCGAGAGGTAATTATGTACAAAGTACAGTAGCTTCTTTGCCTCTGCAAATTCAAACATCTCAGTTTGTTATTGTTAATAACCGTTCTGTCTTTTTCTTCTCTGCAGAGGATTCTGGCAAAACTGGCCCAAAAGATAAATTCACGTTCAGGCTATTTTTTGTCTCATTTTAAAAAAAAAAAAAAGTGTTTTTTCCATCCTGCAGAAACAATGTTCCCATTTTTGTTCCTTCTTGTGAGTGAAATTCAGTATTTCAATATTTAATGGATTTCAAAGTCTATTTTCTTCCTTTTGTGGAACAGTTTACCCTGTAAATATGTGGAAGCACAGACCTCTTTATAAAGATGATTTTAGACAAAAACGTTCTTGTCTACGGTTTTTTCATTCAAACAAAAAAACTTTTGTTTTGGTGGGGCAGTACCACAAGGTATTACATAAAGTTTTTTTTCCTTATCTTTAATCAAGAGCGTGGTCTTTCAATTTGAGAGTATGAGCTATTGATTTCACTCAATGCATGCGCTTTGATTCGCTCTGCTCTTCCCAAAACTATGTTTGCACACATATTGAGCCTCATGCAAGAACCACTCCTTCAACCACATTCACTCTGAAGTGGCTTGTACGAGTGATTCAGGAGAACTTGTATCATTCAACAATTTTCTCATAAAATTCACTAACAGAATTTTATAACAATTTTGCATTAGAAAATCCTTTATAAATTACACTTCATAGTTATGTTGACATTATCCTGTTTGACTCTGCAGTTGGAATTATATCATTCAAAATTGTCTATCGGTGATATTGTACAAAACTACATTCTCAAAATGAACCTCTGAAGCTGCAAAACTACAAATTCTGCTCTAATTGAAGGTTAATTTGTCTCTGTATATAATACGGTCAGTATTACGAGCACACAGAAGCAACGGGAAAAGGACTGTAGCTGGTGCACAGAAAATCGATGTAAGCAATAATATATCTGAGTGCAAGCATACAGTTTGAGCATAAACGGAGAAAATCCAAGCGCAAGCAGAGCTATTAGAGTTCAAGGAAAGGTGTTTTTTTAATAAATCATCTATCTACTATGAGCTGTCTGTTAGATTGAATCACATACAGTATATGGTTCAAGTGGCTGCTCAAAGGTCTGTCTCTGAGTCTGATATACACACTGCAGATATCGCATACAAAGGCGTTGGAACAGAATCATTTACATAAAGTCTGGACATCGTTTGGACACATTTCTTTGATAATTCGTTCTGGCAAGAGCCAATTTGTCCTAATCTCGGAAGACGTCATGGTTCCAAATCAGCCTACGTATATACTGACGTGAACACAGATTTACTATCTTCCCTTGGCGCCCGGTCATAAGTAAACGAAAGGATGAGAAAGCTTGTGTGAAGATTGCTTCACACAAGGACACAGACTTTGTGGAATCAGCTGCCTAGATTACAGTGGCTAAACAAAAAACATTTTAAGTTTTTCCAACACTATCAAATTGAAAGAACACGCTCTTGAATAAAGTTAGAAAAGAAGCTCTATATAATAAGACCTTTCTTCAGGACTGTCATACATTTTAGTTTACTTTATCCTCTGAATGAAACTGTCCCCTGTTATATACACCTCAGCCTTTTGCAAACAAAGAAACCTAAAAATGTTTAAACTTACATCCGCTGTGGTGGTCGCAGTGACTCAAATGGCTCACCAAATAGCAAGGGGAGCCGTTTGCATATGATTTATTACACTTTCCACAGCAGATCATTTGCACACAATATATGACACTGCAAAATATACACTTCATAGGTATACATACTGTTTGTGCAGTGAAAATGGATAATGATGTAAAGGAAAGTTGTTGGTGTGCAACTGGGAAATGTAAGTTCTTTGGTGATCTGAAAGCCATAGCTCTCACAGAGACTTGAACGTTAACGGACATTCAAAATTCCAAGGAATAACATGTTACACTTATTTACAACATGGTCCTTGGGTGTTTCAAGACGAGACACAATATTTAAAACATAAAACTAAACAATGCATTCATGAAATACAAAATGATATCCGCACAAATTAAATACCAGACACCCTCATCAAAACGCAGAAGTATTAGTGAATTCATATTTTTTTTGGATTTACCTATTTACATGTTTCTTTCACACAAATTCAGTAATGTTTTTGCACTCGATTTCGTCCATCACATTTTACAGTAGCCTTCAAAAACTAATCTGAAAGCTGTATTTGTGCTGGGCAACAAAAAGGGAAGCTTGATGGTTGTACAATATGCTGTTATACAGTCAAACCAAGTAAGCCATGCCCCAGACGGCCACTTTTAGGCTTGGAGTGTATGTTTTTTTTGTTAAAGTATTAATAACTTTGGAGGAGGCCGTACGTGAAAATACAACAAACGAACATTCATCCTCCCTCGTTTTCTAGTACGCGCAGGCGCAGTGGCTCCGTTTCACATGGGAAGGGCCTATGGGCGTTGCTGGTGGTCAAACTAACTTACACAAACCGGTTCATCCCGGCACCCCATTGGCTCACACGACGGCACGTCACTGACGTCAGCAGCGCCCCATTCGCTATATTACGGAGATGTCAATTTCAGTCGGGCGACGATCAAGTGTCACTTTGGTCACATTGCCACACTTTCAAACACGTTAGTGTTATTTTGTAGCCGTAGAAAACTGTCATGGAACACATAAAGGATGGATGGTTTACGGAGTCATGCGCGCTATGGCCGGGGCAAGCGATGAGCCTCCAGCTGGAAGAGGTCCTCTACCAGAAGAAGTCCGATTTTCAAGACATTATGGTTTTCAAGAGGTGAGTACTTTTAGCTACGAAACTTGGCTAACGGTGCTAGCTGTTAGCGCCCTCCAACCAGTGAATGAGCAACCTAAAGCTCGTGGGTTTTGAGAAGTTTCTTCCGCTTAGCTTGCCTGTGAGTCGTTTCCTTTTGTCCCTGAACCGGGTTTTATCTCGCAAACAAACTAGCTAGGTAGCGAGGTGGTGGGATGACTCTTTCAGTCGATGGAGAGAAACGGTATCCAATACTGACAAGCTAGTCACGGCAGCAATCTCTGAATTTGTTTTTAAGAACGTCAGCAACACATCTGTGATTTAATTTGGCTTTATTGGCATGAAGGTTAAAAAAAAATAAAAATAAAAAATCTTCCCAAAGCATCAAAATGAGAAAGTACACCATAATAATAATAATAATAATATGAATATCAACACAACATTAACATAACTATTGCTGCATCTTGCTGAAGTTATGTAAACGTTTATGAGTTGGTCAGTTTCTCGTAACCTTTTTAAACGTGACTCTCATGCTTTGCTGTAATATCTCCTTTTTCAGTAAAACCTATGGGAATGTCTTGGTGCTGGATGGAGTGATCCAGTGCACAGAGAGAGACGAGTTTGCCTACCAAGAGATGATTGCAAACCTTCCACTGTGCAGTCACCCTTCCCCCAAGAAGGTATTCCTCAGATAAATTGTTGGGGAATTTAAAGTCGTTGCAGTAGGACGCCAGCCAGGGATTAGTCCCGTTCCTTGTTTTGACAGTCAGCCGCTTTCCACTTTCACAGGTGCTGATTATTGGCGGCGGAGATGGCGGAGTGCTGAGGGAAGTAGTGAAGAGTCCACTGGTGGAGTCGGTGGTTCTGTGTGAGATCGATGAGGTAGGAGCAACAACACCGACGGGGATTCAGGCTTCTCTCTCGAGGGCCATACATTATATTGCACCTGAGCTTCGCCTGATCACATCAGTATTGACGTCGTCTTCTGTGTAGGAAGTCATTAACGCATCCAAGAAGTTCCTCCCGGGGATGGCCAAAGGGTTTTACAGTCCCAAGCTCATCCTCCATATTGGAGACGGCTTTGAATTCATGAAGAAGAACCAGGATGCCTTCGACATCATTATAACCGATTCCTCCGACCCCGTTGGTGAGTGCCGCGACGCCTCTCTTTGCCAACTGTTATAGGAGGCGGTCAATTTCTGAGTTCTGAATTTTGTTGCAGGACCCGCTGAGAGTTTGTTCAAGGAGTCTTACTATCAACTGATGAAGACGGCGTTGAGAAACGGTGGAATTCTATGTTCCCAGGGTAACTTTCATACTTGTACTTTATATTTCAGTTTTGTGTTAAAAGCTGGAGAAAGGCTGGTGAGTGAATTTAGAAAAATGCTGACTTCAGTAGAAGTCATAACTATGCTACATCCAATTTTTTTCAAGTTCACTAAAAAACAACAACCAAGGCTTTCATTGACTCACCGGGAGCTGTTATGTTCCCCATTCATATAGTCTGACCTCCAGATAGAACAATGCTTAAAGAAAAGGCAGACAGGAAATGAACATGCCCTTTCTTCTGCTCTTGTGTCAATCTCACAGGAGAGTGTCAATGGCTCCATTTGGAGCTGATAAAGGAGATGCGAACCTTCTGCAAGACCCTATTCCCTGTGGTGGACTACGCCTACAGCACCATCCCAACTTATCCCAGCGGCCAAATTGGATTCATGCTCTGTAGTAAAAATCCCGTAAGTGTGTGTCGGTCATTCTCCATCTGCCATCCGCCACTTGCTTGATTGTTGTCTGATTGCCCATGAATGCCACTGCCTTATTATACAACCTTCCTGTAGCGAAATAAACCTGTCTGCTGTTTCTTGGTGATGGGGGGGGATTGCCCATCGAATGACCCTTCACTTTTTGAATTAGGAAACAACTTTCGTGGAGCCAATGAGAACGCTGTCAAAAGAAGAAATGGAAAATATGAACCTTAAATATTACAACCCTGAAATTCACAAAGCATCGTTCGTCCTGCCTGAGTTTGCAAAGAAGGTAAACGTCGTTAAAATCATTTTCCTATATCGGTGCAATTTTTAAAAACTGTTCACACGTATTTGCTTCCTTTTTCACTAAGTGTCTTCTTGACCGTTGACAGGTACTCAATGAAGCATGACCAGCAACAGCAAGACCGTGTTCATCCTCTACCTGGCCCTCTGACCACAGATAAACAACCTTGTTCTCAGGCTTCTTCACCTCCTCGGCACAGTTCAGCACCACTGAAGAGAGTAGCCTCCTTAACATGTTCTGGATGGGAGCACCTATTAATCATCAGTGGGTGGGAACTTGCTGAGTTATACAGTGAGAAGTGTTAGTTCGCTCCAATGTTTCCTTCCTTCCTTCCAGTTGTACACACTCTTGTTGTTTTTATTTATTTTACTGATGTATTTGGTTTTTTTTTCATTTTTACTCTGTAATCTTCTTATCAGCATTTTGTGACGAGCGATTTAATGGACTGGGCTGAGGGGGGAGCGCATTGCCATCAAACCTGACCTCAATCTGAAACTGTGTACTGTCTGTCGGATTCACTGAATCTACACCTTATGTAATGCATTACCTTACCACGTAGTACATTGATGTACTTTTCTTTGTAATGTTTGATATCGGTTTGTGCTCACAGGAAAACACACAGTCGCCATCTGTCGCGACTGCATATTCACAGTACTAATGTGTCCTCTACACACAAAAACCCTATAGTGCCTGAAATTGGTTGTTTTGTTGTTGGTAGGAAAAAAAAAAGAAGACTTGCTTTGAATCTAAGTGTACCAGGCACATAGTGGCCTAGAAGAAACCTCATGTGTCAGTAATTGACAAAAGTGTCCCTTTACCACCAACGTTCTACAAGATTAACATCAATTTTCTCCGCTTTGACCATCAATTATAACGGTGTTAAAAAAAGCAAATTGGGTCTGGTATTGGAGTTCTGCAAAGCAAAAAATGTGACTGCGATGTGAATTCGTTCTGCCATTATAAACCTTCAGTATTGTAGAAGGCTTGTATTGTAGTAAGCCTGTATGCTGAGTCATTACATTGGTCAGACACCTTCAGTTCCAGGTACAAGGGTCAGTCCACATGGAATCTGTTGAGAAATATCTGAGCAATGAATCTGTAATTTATGTTTTTTAAGTACTGTAATAAATTGGTAACATAGACTGGTTGTTTTGAGTTCTGTGTTCATTCATTCGCTGACTGTTTCACTCGGGCATTATGCTTTATTTGCATTACCACTAATCGCAGGACTAAATTCTGGTTTTCTACTTGCGATATCTTTAAAATTTGTTGTGCATAAAAAGCAATATTTGAAAAATGATTCTGTGCTTGTTTCACTCTGGGTTCAGGACCGCAGAAAAAGTTAGGAAGTAACAATCTGTTCAAGGTTTCTATCCGCTAAACCTGTGTTTTTGAGCTAATCTTTACCAATTGCAGCATCACTTTCCAACCAAGTCCAGGTTAATATGTGATGTGTGTCGGCTGGGGTTCACTGCTAATAGGTAACACTTTAAGTATCCTTATAGGCTCTGGTGTGAACAGTGTTGTAGTGCCAGTGAGGTCCAAGTGCAGTTTCAGTATTCAGGCACTAGATGGCATCCTTTAATCTTATGTATAAACTGGTTCACATTCTAGAGGCACAAAGGAATGCATTGAAATGGTACTGTTCAAATTCATCAAATACATATTGAGAGAATACAACCTTGTATTTTGAGTCTTTCTCTGAATATTAAAGGGAAGCTCCCCTTGGCCCCATTAAATTGTTCAGATCGGTCAGTGTTTTGGTTTGTGAGGCGCCACTGTTGCCTTCAGTTGCATCAACTGTAGTGATTGTGTAATACCTCAGCCCTCACTGGTTTTCTATTAAAAATTGACCAACCTGCAACAGTGCAGCGCATTATTATCATACTGCCTTTGTAGTGCCTTACGGTGGCTGTAGTGAAGGTGGTTCGTGTTCATGAGTGTTCTCCAACTGTAATATAGGAAATGAAACATACAGTATACCCACTGTCTTCCATTAAGTCAATTGAGGGACTACCCATACATATTTAATTCCATGTGTGTTTGTTTTAATGATAATAAACACACACAGTAACAGAACTTTGAAGACTGTGTCGCTTGTCTTTTTAAACCAACTGTACATGTTTCCAGTGCAGTAACACAGATTTACCCACGTATCCAGACGCACCCGTTAAATAGAAAACACTCAACACATAAGCCTCAACTCATCTTTGAGTCTGTGTTCCTTTATGATCCCTTTCAGAGAGCAGTTGAGGTGTTGCTTGAGGCCATAAATGAAGTAGATGTAGTGAAAATGGAGGCTTCCACGCACATTAATAAGATCCGGGAGCACCCAGACCTGTCGTCATGCTGACGTTTTTCACATGTGTGAAGTCTCTTTCAGGTCAGACTGCAGATATTTGTACGGGGCCATTTTGTTGTAGATTCTTCAAACACACTGGATTGCCAATATAGACGTTCCAACAGTCGGCTAATCTTCGGATTGACTCCGGGCCTTCTTGAGATCCGCAGTGTATGAAGAAAATACCTCAAACACTGTTATGAAAGCACGACAAATCCATTTGAACATATCAACCAAGGCGTACTGGAATGTAGGTATTGTATGTTTCCTGCCGGTAGCAACATCCAAAGACGTCACAACAGTAAACCCTGTTAATTGTGCTATTTCAGCGGTATATCCCGGAGGGCAGCTCCTCAAACACATGAAACTATTTGTTTTCTCCGACAACAGAGTATGTTTTATGCTGTAATCAACTCCCCATAATCAGTTTTGGTGAGGAGTTAAGCTCGTACAGACCAGTATAATTGGGTTTTGCAGTAGTTTAGGAGTAGCTCACACAAATTGTTTCCTTGCATTTAATGGTTCTATTTAGCTACAATATTTAAACATAAATGAGTCTTTATGTAAGTAGCAACTTATGTGTCAGACAAATGCATATTAATATATTATTTGCTGCCACACTTGTATAAAGAGTAAAGACGAGCAAACAATGTTTGTGCTTCATTAATATTTCAGCTAATTTTATATAAATCATAGTGTCCAGAGCAAAGCTCTGAAGAATACTAACTTGGCTTGGGAAAAAAAAAGGTAATTTACTCATTTTGATTATGTACTGGTTGCTGGAAGCCGTTTCTCACTTGTTTAATCCACAGCTTCGTCTTAAATTGAACTGCTGCTGCAGCCTATCATACATTCAACTGGGATATATTGTACCCTCACCGTCATTGTTACCTGCAGGATGAGAGTTTTTCTATTACTTGTTGGGATATAGTTTGTTCACTCATCGCAGTCTTTTTCCAAAGCCTGCCTATCCTGACCCAAAGGCCATTGTTTTGTGTTTATTTCAGACAGCAAATAAAAATCAATCACATTGTATCCACTTAACTGCTCATGTTGATGTCGACCAAGGTTAACCATCAACTCCATTGTACACCTATAGCACTAAATTGCCGAAGAAGAATTGCTTTTTTCTTTTAACAGCTACGTTTCCTCCACTAGATGGGTGATGAGCATTTCCTGAAGGCACCGCCTGCAGTAATGGTCAGTGTCAGACCGCTCAATTGTAATCTGCAGGTGTCAGAGAGGCACACGGAGGCACTGTGACAGCAATCAGCGAAACACTGGCATAACAACGATAAGTCAGCATTGTGGTCAGTTTGTATTTCTTTCAGATGTTTTGTTTGCCGCTACAGGAAAATGTGACCACTGTGTTCTTGGGTGTTCAAGACATTTAGAGTACGTTATGAGTTGTGGGATTGTCCGCCTATACCTGCCAAAGAGGTCTGGCCTGAGATTGTCTATCACAATTGTCAATACATTAGTTACATGTTGATGTCAAAACCTGGCTTTGGCTCGGTGACGTCGTCGCCCTCTGCAGATGTTCCCAATTTGTCAAAGGTTAAGTGTTCAACGGTTCCATTTGTTCTGTCCTGAACCCTTCATCTCCACACTCACATATACACATTCTCCCCCCTCTAGTACCCTCCACCCTCCGTCATACACCCACCACCCTGTACGTGGGTGGTGGGTGTATGACGGGGTAGAGGCGTATAAAAGAGTGAGGGACTTTGGACGTAGAGCAGAAGAAACATCAGTGGATTCCAAATCTTGTGACCAGCTGCCACCAACTGCACTGCACTGCACTTTCTCCACCACTCTCCTCTGGATCTCTGAGCTGCTCAGACTCTTCATCTCTCTCTTTCTCAAACACACACTCACTCACACACTCGTATCTCCGTGAGCCTCCTGCTCCTGTGGCTGTAACTCTGGTCAGTCACCGGCACTCCTGTCACAGCATGCAGCTCCTGGTGGTGTTAGCAGCTCTCATGGGGGTTCTGTTCAGCGTTAGAGCAGCCACCTTGCTTCCCTTGGAGGATAGGGGCTCCATCCATGTGAGCAGGGTAAGGAGATTTTTATTGTTCATTTGTAGTTCATGGGGAATTTTCCCTATAATTGCAACTGTTATTGATAGATTGGGGTACATTTTTTTTTAATAATAGTAATTGTTATTATTATTATTATTATGATGTTATAGTAATAATTAGAACTTTAAAGAAAATGATCTTAAAATAAAGATTGATTGTGAAATCAACAAAACTAAATCCAATTCAACTCAATTTACTTTGTATAGCCCAAAATCACAAATCACAAATTTGCCTCAGAGGGCTTTACAATCTGTACACATACGACACATCTTGTGATATTTCTATTTTGCATTTAAAATAATCGAATCTTTAATTCAGCCTGTTTATTTGTACCGTCTTCACTGTGAAAAGTAAATCATGATACTTTACAATTGAGCAGTCCAGTCAGATAGACGTAAGAAGTAACATTTTCACATTTTCCATAGTCTTTTTCACAATATGTTTAATAATAATATGTATATATATGTATCTGATTTGTGGTCAGGAGCTGAGCAAAGAGCGCAAGGAGCTGATCCTGAAGCTGGTGTCAGGCTTGTTGGATGGAGCTCTGGACACCAACATGCTGCCGGGGGAAGCAGCACCTGTGGAGCTTGAGGAGCCGCTGGAGTCTCGTCTGGAGGAGAGGGCGGTCTACAACAGGCTATCATTGCCTCAGCGTGACCGCAAAGCCCCCTGTAAAAACTTCTTCTGGAAAACGTTCACCTCCTGCTAACAGTGCTCTGCCCGCCTACTGTGCTCCTTCTCCCTGCCAGCTCCTCATGAACTGTAGTAGACCTCAGCTGTACATATCATCTACACCTGTCAGACATCGATGGACTTCACTGACACAATGTGTCTGTTTAAATATTAATTATATACGTATCTTTTTATGTGTACAATATATGTATTTATGTATGTAGCCGTTTCTTTAAGGGTCAACAATAAAGCATGGATATATAACGTTTGAGATGGTGATCACAGTTAAGTGCTTTTGTAAATTGTTCAAAAAAAGATAAGGTCATATTTTCCACCTGCTTCAACAATATAAATGCAATGTCCAAATTCATGCAAAATGGTGGCTGTATTTTTTATTGTGGGTGAGAACCTTTACTACACTAAAATTGTGGAAATATATTAGGGAATGTATTTCTATATCTGTTCAAAAAAAAAAAAGTGGCAGTCGTAAATGGCGCAATAAGTATTCAGAGACAATTTTCCCCTTCTTCAATGAAAGCTTTTTTTAGTGCTGCTCGTAAGAGATAACAGAGTGTGGTTCATAATACTGATATCTTACTTATTCTGCTTTGCAGGCTACTTGTTGCCATATAACTGTCTTTCTAGTTTACAGGCAAAGAAAATGTTATATAAACTATATAACTATAATGAAGGAGGAAACGTTTAAAATTCCAATAAAAGTGCCACAATTAGATCCTTAAATTAAAAGCATAGAATAGATTTCAAAATACAAATCATACAATTACTGGGGCAGGTAGAGTAGGTGACATATGCTGCATGTTGTTCCCTCTCTCTCCCTTTTCTGTCTCTCCTCAGCAGTGTTATCTTATTAAAAAGCCAAAAAGCCAAAAAAGTAATAAACATTGAAGAAGAAAATTACCTAATTAAGTAAAAATACTTTTTTATTGTTTTATAAATGCAGATATGTAAAAAAACAACAACTTGCTGTCGAGGGTCTGCAATGTGAAAAGGATTGCACATATTTTATAAGAAGCAAGACAGTGGTCCTTATTAATTCCTAGTCACAACTTGAGGGAGACGTTGCCGTGACTTATCACTGGTCGTTAAATATGTCAGTAAGATGGGAAAGTAGATAAATCAGAAGCATCCCTCGCATTCACTCAATGCTGTTGGTAGCAGCAGCATTTAAGGCACACGTAGTCCAGAAGGTGGAGACCTGTTGTACAATAAAACAGTGAACAAAAATCTAAATAGCAAAAGATGTGCGTAGTGTTAATAGGAATCTGACGTCACAGTTCGACAGTGAAAGCACAGACAAGGCTGCTGCTGCATGTTGAGATAATCAAGTGTTCCCCCGTGTGACCCCCATCAACCCCGGTATTGGATGGATTCTTGCTGCAAACAAGACCCTGCGTTGGCTACGGGCGGTTCGGACCTCAATCAGTCACACTGCAATTACCACAGGCTCTCTTTGCCCTTCTGGCAAATTACAACCACCGTGATATGTATGTTTTTTTTACCTTACTAAGGTAGGGAGTGAAGTAGGTGCTGGTCGCAACCAAATATCGACTTTCAAGCCGGGCCCATAGTCGCTATTAGTGAACTGATGGATTTAATGTGGGAATTGACATGCAGGTGAAATATCCTGCTGTTTGAGCCAAATCAAATGAGTACTTTCTTTTTTGTTGTATAGTTGTGAATAAATGGCCAATCACAACAGGCTGAGCAAAATCCAACAAACAAAACCAACAAAACAACTCTTTGCATCAAATAGAGGACGGCTGAATAATGGCTGACAATTACAAGAGCACTTTCAGTACACTATTGAATAATAAACATATCAAAAGGCAATTATTTCTTGTACACTGACGCCTTTGCCGGCTCTGAGAATTCAATGAAATGTGTAATTTTTGCCTCGGTGCTCCAGGTTTCGGCAAACACCATAACAGCCGGCCCTGCAGTGTTGATCAGGTCAAGCTGTGTGTTGTATTAAAGGTAATAATTTGTATTCTTTTTATTGAGCTCTATGTACTTGAGATGTAACTGGTGTTTTTGTAAACGTCAATGAGCAGCTGCCGTTTACTTCCAGCTGTAATTTATGTCCATTGCTGTGCAGATGTTTGGCACTGGGCAATAGTGAAATTAAATACCTTATTGTGAAATGTCTGAATTCTTAAATAACTTACAATAGTGTACCAGAGTCGCTACACACCCTTTACTGCCAGAGTAGAGGCAAAGCTCAGAGTAGTTTTCCGACACTTTCCTCAACAGGGTTCAGTTGAGGAAAGTCCAATTTTCTTTCTGAACAGGATGAATAAGAGATAATGGCTCATAAGTGTGCTTGTTTCACAGGTGCAAAGACATGAGTTAACCTAAGTTCACAGTACTGATTCAATTACAGGTGGAACATTAAAGGCCACCGTGATGACATTTCTTTTCCTTTTTATTGACTGTTCGGGGAAAAAAGCTCTTGAATGATCCATCCGAGTTTTCGTTGAAAAAAAGCTGCATAATCCCCTGAAAGCAGCATTTGATGGGGAGTTACAGTTCAACAAATTTCAAAGCGATGTAATTACATGGTTTTGGCAAACGCTGCCTTTAACGATGCTGAATAGACAAAGGCTCCTGTGGGCTCGCTTGATTACAGTTCATCACACAGCATCCTTCATTCTTATGTGCAGTAAAAAGCACCGTACCAAGTGAGCCATATTCAGGTTTACAGCTTGTCGGAGAGACACTGGACTGTGTTAGAACAAAACACACAATCATTTTAGGAATAGAGAGATGTCAAACACAAAAAAATATATTTCCTCTCCCCAAACAGGCAGCTTCTGATGCCAATCAGTATTTTTGGGTTTGAGATGATAAACTCAAAACAATTTGATGTCAGTGGAGGTGCTGTCCACTTCTGACTTCATGGCACTGGGCTCAAATGAGCGCGCAGAGGAGCAACATCAAAGCCGATGCCTGCAAGCAAAGCATTTTATTGGCTTTCCTTTTGATCTGAAGGAGGAGGGAAAGGAGTGCTCAGGCCTAACTGTGTAATTCAAATATAAATGTGAATTCGTATGTGCCGGTGTTTAAAAATAACAAAGCCTTTGGTTTTGTTGGTACTTCTCATACGGGGAAAAAAAACAACATCAAAGGGAACCCACCGTGGTTGCATAAATGCAGAGATTAGTTTTAAACTTTATGGGATGTGATTATATCTGGTGTGATATGGTGCGATTTCAGATATATATATATGCAACCCCATATATATATATTGTATAATAAAAGGACTGCTGGACATCAAGCAGTAAAAAAATAAATAAAAAATTCCATGAATCAAAATGTTCATATCAACATTTTGTCAAATCACGAGGCGTAGCATAAAAGGGATCGGTTGCTCAAGCTGCCTCACTGAATGCTACATGATCACTGTGTTTGTCTCTGCGTTTCACGGATGTGTCAGAACTCATTTTCCTCCCCCACTAGTGAGAATTTAGCAACGGTTAACATCAAACGGTTCGCTTACCTGGCCTCGATCGGTCAACAAGGCCAAATTAGCACCCGGCGCTCGGCTAATGCTTCTGAGGAAAAGGGGCTAACAGGCAGGTTGTGTGGCAGCTGTCTCCCTTATACAACACTATCAACAAAGAGTTATGCTGAAAGAAATTGATTTACATAAAAGGGACTGTAGTGATCTTTTCAAATGACATTTTTAACACATTCAGGTTGCTGCAGCTGACGTATTGTTAATAGCACGTGTTCTGTGTACTCAAAGCATATTGAGTCAATGTCTAGCAGAGTGAATTGAATAAAACAACATAACCGCGTTCATTTTACATCTTAGCAAAGAAAAAGAAAACACATTCCTGAATTCCTGAAATACATTCATTTCATACATTATATACAATGAGTGTACATGCTTTGTTTCAGAAACGGAGACGGAAGTTCGGTGCAGTCTGCAAACATGTACTTGTTCTTTATTAACCCAGTGACTCTGGACACAGCGCCTGCAGCAGCCTTATTCATCTCTGTCAGCTGGGCTCGATTTGTTTAGTTGTGACATTTGAGATGTTGTATCCAGAGCACAGCATGGTTGACTAACTGAGGAAAATGTGAAGTAAAATTAATAAGTTACCAATTTAAAAAATGTTCTCGGGAAAGGACATGCTGCAGGAATAATGGACCTGTTTTGCTCTCTATTGAGAGATCATTAGCACCTTTTCAGGGAGTCTATACTCTAATCAGTTGATAGTATTATAACGTCTTCCTGTTGTCGTTGCCTCCTGTTTTATTTTTGTATCAAGTTTATCACAAGTAAGTGTTAACAGATACCTTAACAACAAGACGTCACGGATTAAATGAATTATGCTTTTTCAAAAGCATCATAAAGAGCTACATCATCAGGAGTAGGGAGTCTATGGCCGCTGAATGATGCCCCCCTGTGCCTGAGCAAAGTGTTCTAGCACACACAACACACACACCAAAGTGTCCTCTGATGTATTCCTCTCAAAGAGTTCCCGTGTTCGGGAGCACGCGATGGGAATGGAGAGATTGTTTTCCCCAGCAGGGTCTAATGATGCCTGATGGCTTACTCAGCCGCCCAGTGCCAGCGCTAAAAGCTCATCATTATAGGGCCCTCTGCTCTTTCAGTGCTAAAGCCGTGGCTCCGAAAATGAGCTGTCACAAAGTGTGAGGAAGGGATGCAGCACGCCGGTCACTGAAGTGACCCCGTTCATTCTGAATGCCACTACTTTGGGAAGCAGGGCGGGTCTGTGGTGAGAAAGGAAAAAAAGACATGGTTTCAAAGATTTAGTTAATGAAGACCTTTAAGTGCTGTATGGATGCAAACCGCAGGCAAAAAGTATCAATCTGTTCAAATCAGTTTAATATGAGATTTCATAAACTAGAGCTCATTAGTGCGCCAACGATGACAACTACCCCGTGGCGTTTTTTCCCCTCTACAGTGTAATTACTACCAGTAGACAGAATACATAAGACTAAAATGTTTTGAAAACGTTTTGACTAGATAATCCCCAATGACTATGTTGAAACAAGAGTCTACAAGTGAGGCTGTACTTCTCGGCACTTTGAGCTAAATGCTAGCATCAGCATGCTATACTCCTGGAAACATGCCGATGTTTAGAAGCAGGTATAATGTTTACCATCTTTTTTTTTAAGTACGGCTGTCATTAGTTTTGCAGGTTCTAAAAGGTATTGCAAGTACCGTACAATATAGGCTACCAAAATAAAACAGCAACACAAAAGCAGGTGGACAAGTATTCATTTATGAGACAAAAGGCTTTATATCTGTGATACGCTATGCAGTTCATGACATCCTTCACTTCTGAACCTTTCCAGCCGAATGTTACACCAGTGGAC